GGATAGAGCATCAACAATTCTGCTAAGAAATGGAATTTCAGGAATAAAAACTGATTAACTCGAGCTGTAATTAACAAAAATGACAAATTTTTGAACGCTCACCAGATCGAACAACGCAGGAGGCCTTCTTCCGGGATTTTGTAGTATAGTGGCCAGTATTTTTAACAATCTCTCCGATACACACCTAAAGGGTGTAATCCATGAACTACAAACATGTTTGCTCCGAAATTCGTTGGGCGCGTGGCGATCGATTGACGGTGAGCTATTAACCCCAGATTCAATATTTGCGCACTAATGCGACGGAACTATTTCCAGCTAACTAGCGATGTGCTTTTAGTGACACTCAAATTTCCGTACATTCACTGTAAAATTTCCTTGGCGTTATCGGTTGACATACTCGCGCACGCAACCTGACGGTTCCTTTGGAGTTGTACTGAAGTACTGCGCGTGGGGGCACTGAGTTTGTGGATTAATCTTTGCACTCAAAAATTCAGAATTGATCATTGTAAAAAGCCAAATGAAAAATTTTATGGATTCTACATCATTAGTGTTTTCTGGTCTTGAAACTTTCAAGTAAAGCAGTTGTATTTCTCATCAATAGTTTGGGAACGGTTTTTGATCCCAGCACTTCTGACAGCTCCATTTTCATATGAGCTCGCGGCTAAATCATGATAATTTCCATAAAAACGCAAATCTACATTTTTGTGGCATCAATCTTATATCGTCTCAACCTCTTACCAATAGGGGCCTGATATACTTCTCGTTGAACGTTCAAATCTGAAAAAAAACAAAAGTTGCGCTTTGTGACATGCTACCTATGATAAGCTGTGTAGTGGCCCGATGTTTCAGCAATGTTCTCGATTCCGCACAAGGTGTAGTCGAGCGACTGGAAAAAGATAATTTCCGTAAATATCCTGCCTCAAATAATAATAAAATATCTTTACCTCAGGCGCGATCATTATCTACAGGGTGTCCTATAAAATCGACCCCTCTCTAGCCGTCCAGAGAATGTACGGATCGGGATGATGACCCACACCATTCAAAAGCCCTTGAAGCGACGAGAAAACAAGCGCTCTTCGTTTTACCTTTGTTTTTGAGACCACGCTCGATATTCAATTCTTGAGAAAGGCTCAAAGGCACCCCGACTTTACGGCGGTCCACTTTTGCGGCGCGAACAATGCGGCCGAATTTTGCTGGCGCGCACTTTCGCAGCGCGAACTTTACGGCGCGATAGTTTGCGGTCGAAATTTTGCGGCGCAACAAATATTATTAAAATCATTTGAGATTCAGAATTTGTTTTGAGTTCGGGATCAGATTTCAGAGGGTTTCAGAAATTCGGAATCAGAATCACCGCCAGTTTTGTTTTGTAATGGTTATATATGTAAAATTTCCCTACAAATTAACTGCAACTGTACGCAATGCCGTGACAAGAGACCTCTTGGGGGCGTCGGGCAAATTGGGCCGTCGCTTCGGTTGGGCTGCCGCTCCGCTCTTTCGAGTCGAGGCGCCTGGGCGCTTCGCGCTTCTCAGGCGCCCCGATTTCCGAAACCCTGCTAAACTGCACCCACTCAGGAAGCGACTGGCCCAGGTGGTACGAAGCCTTTCTAGTCATAGAGCGAAAGAAATGTGATTAATTTCCTCCAAATCGAGTGACTCCTGTCGCAAAACAGTCTTCTCACGTTTCTATGCGAGTCGGGATGCGGTGCAAAACTAAGCCAAAGGCCTGTGCCTAAGCATCGCGCGCCAAAATTCGGCCGCAACGTTCGCGCCGCGAAATTCGCGCCCCAATCTTCCACCACCCGGTTCGCGCCGCAAAATTCGCGCCCCAAAAGTACGCGCCGCAAGAGTTCGCTTGGCTTCCAGCCCATTCTATTCCTGTTAGCTTTGCAATTAACATACGGACCTTGCTAAATCGGCAGTTTTCGTGGATTCGGCCCTAAATCCCTACCTTACATAATTTTGGGGTGTATCTCTGTGTGTGTGTGTGTGTGTGTGTGTGCTGTCCGGCACCAGGGAGGGCTTCTTTGCATAATTCCAAAAGTACAAATTTCCTCATTCTTGCAAGTGGCACGCGCCGGTGTGGTCGGAGGAAGCGAGGGTCCGAAGGACCCAAGCTATCGGAAAGTCAAATTTCTCGTACAAAGGCCGCATTCCAGCGTTCCAGGCCCGCGAAGCGGGTTTTGGGCCGCTGGTTTGAGGTGACTAAAAATGTCTACACTGAAAAACTGAAGTTCTTGCATTCTGTCTTTTCCGAGAGGCTTCCATAGATACCAAAATCGTCATTATTGGACACTTCTCCAATTGTTGGCTAGAGGGGCCGATTTTTAGGGACACCCTATGTTGGGCCCCGGCTGTTCGAGAAGGCAATTTTGAAGGAATGTCGCATCATTGTTTGGCGTTACCGTCAGTTTACCCAAATAAAGTTATGCGAAAATTACTTTATTCTGAAGCCGGTCTCCAACATCCCTGGGTCCTCTCCATCAACCGTCTTCACCTTCAGCCTTCAACGGACGAGCGTCTTCATCGTCGCTACCCTCAAATTTTCCAAAAGCTCCGGCCACGCAGCGAGATGGTGTCAAGGAACCCGAAGCACCAAAACGGGAATTACTTGTTAAAGGCGGTGAGTAGATGACCACGATTGTGGTAGTTACAAAAGATCTTTAGCGGGCAGGGCTGGCATCGAGACCGTTAAGCCGAAGCAATAGCTCCACGCAATCCGCCATATGCCATTACAGCTAGTCGACCTGTAAGACGATGTATATTGATTCACTTGGAAAAAATTACCACGGAGAAGGTTTTCCCGCAACAATAATTCAAAAATGCACATTGAACGATGACACCTAAATACCGCCTTATATAAAAAATTACGTATCATACCAATAATTCGGTAAGCCGTAATGAAAACCAGTGTGGTCAAAATAAAATACCAATCCCAATAGAGTTTTGAGGAAAATACGGCGTACCAAGGAATAGAAAGACAACCTAGAAGGGCATTTGGTTTTTGACGGAATACTTACGGTTTCAGAACCTTGCGCCAAAACCTTTGTCAAATATTTCACCGATATTTGCGCTATCGGCGTCAAATTCTCCTTGACATAAGGTTTCATCGCCATTCTCCGCAGATTGTGATACTGAAAATTTATTTGAGCTTTGGGTTTCCGAGGCTTACGTTATAATCGACGATATCGCCCACGATTCGGCCGTCCAATAGGCCAAAAGCGGAACCAAAAACACGAAAATTGTCGACATGATTTCACAAACTTGCGTGTACCTTTGAGCAACTTGACCGCAAAGGATAAATGTTTACTTGGTAATAAAGGCGACGATTATCGCAAAAATTAGGCCAAGCAGTACTCCGCCAGCAGCCACTACAAAGAATGACACTCCACCAGCTACGTAATCGATCGTCTAAGAAGCTTTTTTTACGTCATGGCGGTAACCCTACCGTAAAGTTCTCGGGTCCTAGCTCGTGAAAGGCCAAAAATATATTGTAGATGACCTACTTCTAATCCAAAATTTTCAATTTCAGATCGTACCACAGAAATCCCATCGTTAAAAAGCGCTTCACCAAAGACATTCACAAAAAGAAAGGCGTTTACGTGCATTTCCTCGAAGACTGAAATATACCTTACTTCATTGCTATCAAGTTTTTGGAAGGATATGTACAACAGTAGCCATCTGATTTGACCCACCGGCTATTACTGACACCGGATCACAAGCTGCAATCAGCGAGGAAAATAGAAAAATATCTAACAACGACATTTCGACGCTAAACCAGCCCCATGTGGCTAATAAGTGCAATGAAAGACCTAAAACTCCATGGTAAATCGGTCATGAGCTCAACCTATCGCAAAACAGTTCCATAGCGTGCCTACGATTGCAAATAAAGCAATCGAGTCCAGATTCTGGAAGAAGGCACGATTCGGCATGAAGTAACCTACGGCAAATTAAAAATTTTTGCTTAAGGATTACCAGCGTCAAAAATGATTGGTGGTAGCAGATAGACGAAAAATATTTGACTAGTCATGGTGTACCACGTTACTGGTAAACCAGTTAAATACAGTAGGTAGCCTGACATACAATTTTTTTGTTAGAAGCCGTGACGTACCAATCAGCCATCCCATAAATATGAGCAGTGTCGAATCATGCAGAAATTTGGTGAGCTTTGCCAACGAAAATACTAAAGCATAAGTGGTAAAAAATTCAAAGTTTTCTTTGGTCTTACCAACTCGCACCGCACAAGCTACAAACAAAAATAATCCAATCGTATATGCCACGCTCACATGTTCCCATTGATTTTTCACAATCTTAAAATTTGTCTATCGTACCGTCATATGGAGTTGATACGGTAAAGGTTGCTTAACGGGGGGGGGGGGACAAATAACGGGGGGTGGAAACCATTTTTCCGTCCAACCGGACCGGTCGTGCCAATTCAAACATACCATGGGATAGAGCGTCGCAAAAATTTAATTTCAGCTCGAAATACCACAATTACTATTATTACTTTATTAAGCTAAAAAGTTTAATCAATTAAAAATAGTTAAAAACGAGGTTGTTTGGACTGAAATTAAATCGCTTGATATAATTTTAGACGCTCTACCTGATGGCGTTTTCAAAATAGCAGGATATTCTTTACAAAAACAAAAATTGTTTCCACCACCGTTATTTCTTCCCCCGCCGTTAAGCAACCTTTACCGTTGATACTGCCAAAGTCATTATGACAAAGGTTAGAAAAACGTGGCAATTACCTGAAACCGCTTCGCTTTTACGTCCTCTTGTGCGTCAAGTGTTAGGTTATGCGCAAGTATTGGCAACAGATGTGCGCAAGAGAGGAAAGCAACGACCAAAAACCTCATCCACCACGGGTAATTGCTTCTAAATTATTTAGAATGCTTAGACGATCAACACTAACGGAAAGGACAAAATCAATTCATTCCCGTCCAGCTGGTGGAACAATTTGGGGGCAGAACGCACGCCCGATGCGACCGAAGTCACCCCAGCGCCATTTGCGGAGAGAAATTTTCCTATCATTCCGGCCACACCACTCGTAAACCCAGGGGATCATCGAAAAGCTAAAAATAAAACGTCTGTTCGGCATACGCTCTCCGAATACAGCCACAAAATTACAGAGTAAAATGCTATTGCTACCGGATGCATTGTATTTTATCCAATTCTTTGTCTCATCTTTTCATGATGTCGGATTGCTGACGATATGTGTAATTGTTAACAAAAACTACGAAGTTGGTATGCGGTTCTTCCGGTCGAGACCCTTTCAGCCACGTTTCTTTGCAGAACACTTAATTTATAAGACGTTATCAAAAACTCCGACCTACAACTGAAAATAGCGTTCCGTGAAAAGCGACTGGAAAATAGCAACGTAAGGCTGTTGCAGATCGAGTGCAGACCGAACCACAGCATGCTCAATCCAGCCACTAGGAAGGTTTGGGAAAACGAACGTAAATCATACCCCAGCCAAACGGTTTTAGCAGGAAATTCAAATACCCGATTTCCAAAACCACATAACCACAGATCAAGCATGGTGTGAATATAAACGCAGCAGCGCCCGTGGCCTGAATTCTGGAATTAGTCCATCGTCTATACCTTTAAACCTGTAAGAGGAACACAATGGCAAATTGGCGCATCATGTCGCGTGTTTTTCGACTCGCCATGGAGTTGTCTTTCAGGAACGTTTGATGGAAAACGGATACTGTGATGAATAAATATAAGGCAGTCCCCAGAATGGAGAAGAAAAGCCCGACCCAGAGCGCGTTTTTGCTGGTGCCGGCAAATCTCATGTAGAAAATGTTGGTGGAGCCGCATAGTCGTGCCTCTATTGCACAAATCTATGAATGGGTTGTGGACTAAAGCCGTGAGACAACCTGATTCGGATCCGTAACTATATAGTTTCCCTCGAACTGCTGCCATATAATAAAATTCGCAAGCAGCATCAGCACAGTACACACGCATACGATATATACTTTCGCCGCTAATGAGTAGCACGATCGGGTAGCCGCTGATTCCTTCAAAATTCCTGAGAACATCACCGTCCCAATCATATAAATGAGCGAGCAAATATAGACGGTCTATAAATCGGGGGGAATCACGCAGAATCGAGCATCTTACAAATAAAGCAATTTTTGCCGTTAAAGTTAGCGTTAGATACGACAAGCATCTTACAGCCATTAGTGGAACGTATATAATTGGTTGAAGCACGGTGACTAGTGAATCACTGACGACGCTAGCGAACTAAACGTGAAGTTCAGATCATATCGCTGTGTTACTGCTATCGTACCAGTAAATTCAGCTGCACCCTACGGTACCCTTTTTGACGCTGGCGACTTCTTATGCGTCAGAAAATAGGCCGCAACGCCCGCCAGGGCTAAACTGCAACACCAGACAATAACATAGACGATCGATATTAGCTCTTCTTCTGGTGGACTTGGCTGGAACATCACGAATAACGGGACTGCCTTCAAAAACAATCGTGAAGGCTATGTGTGAATTCAGGGGCGTCTAATCGACAGGTGGTTTTCTGAACCTTGGCGGGGTTCGGCGTTACACTCCGGCAAGCTAATGCCTGTTATGAATTCAAAGGGTTTCGTTGAGTCAAAGATCAGTGTAAGCGGTACAAAGTGCATAAAAGTTAGTGACGTCAGGTCAGGGAGGCTAATGGTTGGATTCTGCTGTTGGGCGGCGGTAGGGGTACCTTACATTCCGCGAGGTAAAAGAGTTTTTAGACCCGAACGTTTCCGTCGCCGATCAGTATAAACGACGTTTATTCGGAGATATTTGTCTCGGGCCCAGATTTGGGTCGGTCAGGCGAAGATCTAATAAAAGCTCCAGTGTTCGTGTGAATAATCACCGGCCGCACTTTTTTCCTCGACCATTGACTACAAAAAACTGAATTTGGGAGTGTATTTGGAGCCCTAAAAATTCAGACCTTTCAAAACAGTGTTCCGGGAAAATCTGCTCGAAAATATTAGTGTCAAACTGTTGCAAATCGAGTGAAAACCGATCCACAGCGTGCTCAGACCAGCCACTAAAGAAAAATTTAATTGACATAAAAAGACCTACCCCAAATGACCGGCTCCCATTTGAGCACGCCGAGAAATAAACTCCCAAGCAGCATATATGGCATGAAAATAAACAGCGAAGCGCTCAGGGTCTAAAGGTCCTCGAAATTTGGTCAAAAATCTCGCAAACCTGCAACAAAAACACAATGGCAACATGTCTCCTCATTTCCCGAGTTTTCGTGCTAGCTAATATATTTGTTTTAAAGAATGTTTGATAGCAGATGGAAAACAGTAGATAAAAATAAAAAGAAACAGTCAGGGTTGAGAAAAATATGGCAATCCATAGGACGTTTTTGGTGTTATCAGCGAGTATCATGTAAAAGGTGTTCGTTTTGCCGCATAAGCGAGGTTCCACCGCGCAGATCTGAAAGTTATATGCGTGCCCTAAATCCTGCCGTAATTCTGCACGTTTTGTAGGATTCTAAAAAACCAGCCGCTGACAGCGGCTTTGCCGCTGCAAGCGGCTGGACTTCGGGCTACCCCTTCCGCTCCCTCCCCCTCCCTTTGTGATGGCCTTAGATACTTTAAAGGATTTAAATAATGAATTAAAATAATTAAAAAGTGTTAAAACAACTGAAAAAGCGATCTGGGCGCGGGAAAGGGCTTGGGGACGGGGGCGGGGAAAGGGGGCGTGGCCTCCCGGGGAGAGGGCCCCACTCGTTTTATTAAGGCGCCACTTTCAAAGTTAATTATTTTTATTTAAACAAAAACTTTTTCATGATTTTTTGATCATTTAAGGGGTTTCTGACTACGCTCTATCCAAATCCGAAGAGACCTAAGCTCTACCTCCTTTCCTCTTCGAGTTATAGTTAGCTTCTGACAGACAGACACCACTACTGAATTCTTATAGTTGATTGCTGACCTGCGACGGGTCAGAAAATATAAATTTTCCCTCAAATTGCTGCCACAACGCATAATTGTCAACAAAGATAAACAAAATCGATAAAAATAAGATATAAACCCTTGATCCAAACGAATATGCGGTGCTATTAGTTTTAGATTCCTTGACGACGCCAGAATATAAGAAGATGCCGAGCATATACATGAAGAAGCAAAAGTAGATGGACTAAAAATTAAAATACGTTAAGGCATGGTACGGTATTATAGCTTACAAAAAGGATATGCATTCCGAGGGGAGTGGGCGTGAAGAACGTGACGCATTTCATCGCAAATACTGGTACATAGAAAATTGGTTGTAGGATCGTGATCAGGGAATCGCTGACGGCACAACCTAGCTGAAATTTATTGATTTTTTCAAGTATGAAGTTTCAGATAGGATACTATTAACAATCCTCCGTACCAATAAATGCAATTGAAGTCTCCTATACCCCTTCGATACCGTCGACTTCTTGTGCAAAAGAAAATAGGCAGCCACCACCCCCAAAAATATCCCGAGTAACCAGACAACGGTGTAGGCCAGCGAAATCAGCTCCTCTTCCTGAGGACTCGGGTCGAACATCGATCGATCAAGTTTGAAAGCCACAGAATTGGTCACCGAACCAATGCTACCTCTCGCAGTTGGCGAAAGCCCGGCCAAACGGCAGGTGCTTTATAACATTTCTAATTTCCATTTTACCCTTTAGCTGTTCCCCGTGCGGGCCTCGTACTTTGGATTCATGCGTCACTTCCCCTGCGTGGTACTTTGTACGTGTAAAAAAGGGGGAAACGGTACCAGCAAAACAATATGATTTATTTCTGTTGCCGTTTTACTGTTGAAAATTCGGTAACCGAAATGGTGCCACGTCTTTTTACCGTCCTTCGAGACGGTAAAAACAATAAAAAAAGAATTTACATAGCTTGTCAGATTTTACGAATTGTAGCAAGACGGTGGCAAGAGATATAGACATCCAAACACAGGCAAGCGGACAAATGGGCGCTGAACTATCAATGTTCCAAGGAAACCGGCATTTCAAGGTAGTTTTTGATGACTACCTCACAGAGTGTTAAACTGCCGAGGGCGCAAATACATGGCTGAAATCCACCACTTTTGACATACCAAGTTAATAAAATACCATGGAAACGTAGCTATATTGCCTTTATGGCTCGTTAATCCAGTATTCATCGTTGAAACGTCTGTTTTAATATCAATAATTGCCACTAAACTCCGTTGGTTGCTTTACTTTTGCCGTAGAATTAGTTACAGAGCGTTAAACTATCAAGTATGCATCAATATCACGTAAATATACCCTTAAAAAGACAAAATTTATATGGCTGCTCGAA